TGGTTCACCCAATGTGGATTACGTCCAGCTGAGTCAATATTATTACAATATGCCTCACGTCTCTCGTTTATAATGAATGAATTGTCCTATGATTTGCTATCACACCCATAACAAGAGAAAAATATGTTTATATACTAGGTTTAAGAGACTAAACCTAGTTTTACAAGGATTCCTATTCCTAAGCCCAACCCAATAAGGAATTAGTAACTTAAAAGAAATCCTACAGTGATTAAACATGAAAAAGCGTAAAATCACTTACGGGCTCGGGGGCGCTGCCCCGAGTACGTCTCCGTTATCCAATAATGCTGAAGTAATCGACAACTCTAACAATCCAGCCTTAATTAGGGTACAAATTTGGCTTTTATAATATTACAATAATAAACTTGTAAATAAAATTAACTTAAATAATATAACACGTGACGTGAATCCATGCTTAAAGTTTTACTACACAATACTTTTATTGATACAATAAAGATAGACTGATAAACCTTTTTCATTAACTTTTTTTCATAAACACGATATAACAGTTTATAATTGGTTAATTTATAATTAGTTAAATGAGACCCATTACGAACTAATCAATTATAAATTATTATATCACGTTTATAAGAAAAAATTAATAAGGAGTGTTTGGCAGCTTAGATTCTACAGTATTGATTGCTGGTTCGAGTGACATGGTATTTGCTATGATATTTTGTACAAAAGGCTATGAACATTTTCTTGAGAATGATTAAAGCCTCGTAAAAGGGAAAACTCATGCATCTTGGGATTGACAAAACACTTGTCCTGATATGGGCTTCCTGTTTCATTTATAGTTTTACACAGAAACCATTATCACTATGCTTTCTTTGTTCATGGACTGATTTTAATGTACCACTGAACAACTCATTGAATAAACCGACAGCAAATTTTAAAAGCTTCAATGGGAATGTCAGCAGGATCAATAATTAAGATCTTTGAGCATTGATTAAAGAAGAAAAAAAATGTTTAAAGCTTTTAAACTCTGTTGCTATATTTACTATGAATCAATTTTCAAGTTCAGACTTCAGTCTGTAATTTTTCAGTACTTTTGAATTTATACCAACTTCGGATACAGCTAGCTTGAAGTTCCAACAAATTTGCAAAAATTTGAAAGTTGTCAGCAAATCAAATTTAATGTAATGCCTAATTTGTTGAGAGAATTAAAAATATACAGTAAAAGTGTATTGTTCTTACCATTCAGACTAAATCCTTGTGGATTTCTTTCACTTTCTATTATGATTGGTTGGTTTTAAAACAAATGCATATTTAATAGGATTCGATTAAATAAATATACGAATGACGTGATATGTTCGTTCCATCGAAAACTTTTTTATTTGATGTCTTGTATTTCACATCTATGTAATGCAGAATTTTGTAACCAAGAAAAAAAAAAGGCCACACTAAAAAGTGAAAGTATTGAATAAAGGCTGTTGACTGCAGAAGAATAAAGCAACGCTGATATCCTCTTTTTTCTGGTAAAAAAAAACAAGAACTTTAAATGTAAGGGAGAGTTGAAGTAACAGAATCCAACAACATGAAAAGCAAAATAAAGAAAAGAAAAGATCAGCATGAAAAGAACAACTCAATCTCAATGGCCAGAGGCATCACACAGTTTTTACACCATTCCAAAAACTTTACTATGACTTGTCTTGTGTCAATTCTTTTTCAAAAGCTAATTTGCAGATAAAGTGTGAGAGAATAAAAACTGGGTCAATCAGATTTTAGACAAAGAGTGATTACACAAAAAGAAACATATGAAAAGGGCTTAAGAGTCTCACCATTTAAGGACCACTGTGGGGAAAGACAAAATCACAAGAAAAGTAGCTTCAATTTTTGGTCTTTTTATTTATAAGAAAGTATGTTTCAAGTGAAAAATAAGAACCACCATAATCACAACTTAATGTTGATCCCAAAAAGGATATAATCTTGTAAAGGAGAAAAGATTTCATCAGAGTAAATGAATAAACAGCAACAATGTCAATATAACACCTCAAGAATAACCATTACATTATTGCTGCAAAATTCATTAGAAAAATTCGAAATCTAAATAAGGACCTGAAGACCTATCTGAGTCTGTAGTTCCCTTGTCATTTTGAGGCAAGGATGACTTGGATGTTTGATTTAAGAATGAGAGATCAACAGGTTTTGGGATTTCTGGAGGATGAGTGCTGCGAATCAACGCCCAATTAACACTTTCAAAGAAAGGATGCTGTTTAATCTCTGTGGCACCTCTTTTGAATCCCAATCTCTTTTGTGGGTCCTTAACAAGTAGACCTCGGATCAAATCCTTAGCAGCAAAACTGACAGAAGATCCATCTGGAAATTTTAGGGGCTGACCCACAACATTGAATAATGTTTCCCGGTTTCCACTACCTTTAAATGGAGTCCTACCAAGCAGTAATTCATACAAGAAAATACCAAAAGTCCACCAATCAACAGCACTACCATGACCATCTCCTCTTATTATCTCAGGAGCTAAATATTCATGGGTCCCAACAAATGACATCGAGCGCGCACCAGTTGGTTCAACAATCAGTACAGGAAGAGAATCTGAATTTATCAAATTTGGTTTTTCACTTTTCGGCTTTGCTGTCTTGGAGTTGAGAAAACGAGGCTTAAAGCAGGATGGTTGTAAGCAAGAAGGCTCCACACAAACTGGTAATTTGCAGGCTGGATCAATGCATGATGGCTGAATACAGTAAGCAGATATTCTGCAAGAGGGATCATCACTGGACTGAACAAGAGTGGGACTAACAAAACACCTCAACGACAAATCAAAGTCAGAGAGCATGATATGACCATCCTCTCTCACCAACACATTTTCCGGCTTTAAGTCCCTATAAACCACGCCCATCATGTGCAGATATTCCAGTGCAAGAAGCACTTCAGAAGCATAAAACCTGCAAGAAAATAGGATCTTATCAGAAATTTAATCTTAAATTCTAGGAGTATTATGGATTACAGTTAGATTAACCAGCATTCCAACATGATTAGCAACCTTTTTACTTACCCACAACCTTAAATTACTACGATAAGTTGTCAACTTAAGGAATTGACATGACTCTCAAAAAGAAGCCCAAGATTGGAAACTTAAGTAAACTTCAAAGAGCTCAACTTAAAGAGCTCCATTAACTGGGCTCTAATATGGTTGTTAAACTGTCTCCACGATCCTTAATTGAGATATCCTAACAAGGTGGCAAGTAGATGGATTTATCTTGTAACAACAGAACTTGAACAGTCATATCATCAAGAGCAAGTAACATAACTTTTTAATAAAACGAAAATTCATACTCTGTATGTTAACAGTCAAAACTACATTGATAAGAGAAGATGAACAGGTAAAAAAAAAAAAAATATTGGAAAATTGTAACTTGGCTATAACTAACCTAGTAGCTTGTTCTGAAAAATGCTTGCCCGGCTGGCGTTGCCGGAGAGTATGAAGGTCTCCACCGCTACAAAACTCCATCAATAAGCAAGAAAACTTGTCAGTCTCAAAATGTGAATAAAGTGTAGGCAAAAATGGATGATCCAACAAGCCTAAAATTTCCCTCTCAGTTTGAGCTCTCATCAACTTCTTCCTCCCTGCTAACATAGCTTTTTCCATCACTTTCATTGCAAACAAACACCCCATCTCTCTCAACTCAGCCAAATAAACACTCCCTATATCCCCACAACCAAGTTTCTTCAACAGCCTAAAATGCCCCAACCCCAATTCACCATCTTTACTTTTTACACATTGCACTGCATCCCACTTCATGTCATTGCCTTTGTGAGGCTTTGAAAGGGAAGAACCTCTAAAACTACCCTCATTTCCATCAACACTACTTAAAAAACTAATCTTCTCACTCTCATTCTTACTTGCTTCAACAGTGGCACTGCTTAAGTTGCTACTGACACTATTATCAGACACAGAAATGGTGCTACTACTACAAAAACTAATACTATGAAGACTGGTGCTAGTGGCAGATTCACTGTCACAATTTGCAGAGTTGTGGTGAGGCTTATTCATGTTTGTGAGAATGTAGTGAAACTGTTTGATGAATTGTGTCAAAGGAGGATTTTTAGTTAGAGATTTAGTTGGTCAAGGGTGTAATGACCGAGGTGGTCAAAGGGAGCGAGAGAGACGCGGGCTTACAAGTTAACGAGTTCAAAAGGAGGGTTAAAACGGTATTCAAATTTGAAATGTGAATTGGGTTCTGAGTTTTTTTTTCTCTCTCTCTCTCAGTTTTTACAGTGTCCAAGAATGTGTTACAGCTTGGAGACAAAACAAAGCACAGGCCAGAGAAAGAGAGAGATTAAACAAAAAATAAAAATACCCAATTCACGAGGAGGACAAAAGCCATTCAGATTTTCTAAACAAACAAACACATTTTTAAAAACATCACTAACCAATACCGTTACTCTGGTTTTCACAAAGAAAGATGATATCTTTGCAATAGAATATTCAGAATACTGACCTTACCTACATGTCACATTTTGAAATCTTCTCCATTATTGGTACAGAAGAACTTCACTATACTCATAAACATATAAATTCAATTAATATCGAGGTAATGCAAGAGATTTTTTTTACACGTATATGTGTATTTGTTCAATCATGACGTGATATAATAAGTCATAATTGGTCGGTTCTTTTTTTGTTTTTTTTCCCATTTGAGTGATTAATGATGCTTTGGTCTGTTTGTTCATGAAAGCAATCAGCTTTCAAAATCCAATGATAATTGATAACTACAGATTATCTAATGTTTTACATTTGTCATTGTGTGTTGATTTCCCTCTCCTTAAAGCAATCCTGCATTGTACTAGATTTGAAGATTTGTTTCATGAAGTCTTATATATAATAATGGCAGTCTCTTTCCTCCAAAGATTTGCCGACATCAAACCTTAAAGTATAATCAAAGAAGAAAGCACCCACTTACTATTTATTTCAACTATATAAACCCTTTCTAAACCTTCATTCTTTCACCGAATTACTCTCACAATTCACAATGAAGCTGTCTACTGCTTTTTACTTCTTCCAGCTTTGGCTTTTTATTTTATCTAGTAAAAGTTCTCACTTGAAGTTTGCTTAATGCTTATTACTTTTTTTCCTAAAAGCACTTTTTTCTTTCGTTTAACATAAACTTATGATTTTTTTTTTCAGGGCAAGCACTAGCTCACACTGTCACATTTTATGTGCATAACAAATGCCCCTTTCCAATATGGCCAGCAACTACCTCTAACACAGGCCAACCAGTGATAGCCGATGGCGGTTTCTACCTCGCCTCTGGTGACACTCGAATCATCGAGGCTCCATGGTCGTGGAGCGGTCGAATATGGGGAAGAACAGGCTGCAATTTTGCCTATAACTGGAAGCCAGCCTGCGAAACAGGAGATTGTGATGGAAGACTCCAATGCAATGGCCTAATAGGCACACCACCAGCCACATTAGTTGAAATCACTCTACAAGCCGATAAAGGCAAGCCAAACTTTTACGACGTGAGCTTAGTCGACGGTTATAACCTCCCTGTAATGGTGACACCAAGGCAAATATCGCCAAAATGCACAATCTCTGGCTGCAAGAAGAATCTAAAATCTGGCTGTCCACAAGAGCTCCAAGTTGTGAACAAAAATGGGCAAGTAGTGGCATGCAAAAGTGCTTGTTTGGCATTCAATCTTGACTCATTTTGTTGCAGGAATGAGTATGGAACCCCAGAGAAGTGCAAGCCTAACTTGTACTCAAAGATTTTCAAGGATGCTTGTCCTGCTTATTTTAGTTATGCTTTTGACATGCCATCACCGTTGATAAGTTGTGCTTCAAAAGAACATGTGATAACATTTTGCCCTTCTGGTTGGGGCAAAATGGATGCCAATATTTCTTCCATATAGGCTACTTTTATGTATCATTTCTTTAATTATGGTCATTTTCTGAATTGGGTTCCAATTGTTGATGTTTAAAGCTTGAAGCTTACATTAATAAACGAAGTAGTTGGTTTATTCAGATTCAAGATTTGTTTCAAACCTAATTTAATTTATTTTTCATACATAAATAAAATTGATTTGTGAAAAGCCCTTTTGAGCCCAATGGGCTGTACAAACCCTCAAACAACCGACAAAACACAGGCCTATTTCTTAAAACGCCGCCGTTTTAACCTAGGGTTTCAGACAACCGAATCTTTTACGGATTCTTCCTCTATAAAAACTCAACACTGTCTCTGCAGCTTCATGTCTTAACATAATCACCGCAAAACCCACTCGCTTTCTCTCTTCATTTCTCCAATTCATTCCTCTGTTGCTTCGAGTTTCAATCTGAAATGATGAGTAATTTCATTTGGTCCGTGTTTCCGATTAACCCGTGACCGATACCCTTTACCAAGCTCTGATCTTTCGTGTTTTTTGTTGCTGTTTTCTGTGTTTTCGTTTAGGGTTTTCTTTGTTTTTCATGTTTTTGAAAGCATGGTAATGGCTCTGTGATTACATGCCTAATTTTCAAGGCAATATACGCTATTCTGATGCCCAAATGAGCAGACAATTTTAAATTAAATATGAGAGCTATTACTAATTTTAATTTATTTTTAACATTTAATTAAGGTTTGATTATGTTTAATATTGTATTTACGAGCTTAATATGTAATAAGATCAAATAGATTTTGTGCCTCTAGGGTGGTTTTTGTTATTTTGGAAACTACAAGGGTTTGTTTAATAGTCATAGGATTGGAATTTGGCAACGTTTAATGAATGAGTTGGTGAAAGTTAATTAAAATGGGTTAATTTAATTTAATTTAAAATGGGTTATATGAAGCCTTGTAATCATCCCAAAATTGCATGAATTTTATTGATAAAATAGATTGATTTTGTAACTCTAGGGTGGTTTCCGTTATTTTGGAAACTACAAGGGTTTGTTTTGATAGTAATAGGGCTGGAATTTGATAACGTTTAATGAATGAGTTGGTCAAAATTAATTAAAATCGGTAAATTTAATTTAATTTAAAATGGGTTATAAAAAGCCATGTAATTATCCCAAAATTGCTACGAATTTTATTGATAAAACAAATTGATTTTGTAACTCTAGGGTGGTGTTTGTTATTTTGGAACTACAAGGGTTTGTTTTGATAGTAATGGGGTTGGAATTTGATCAACGTTTAATGAATGAGCTAGTGAAAGTTAATTGAAATGGGTTAATTTAATATAAAATGTATTATTGGGTGCAAAGTAAAAATAAAAAAAATCTGATGTATTATTTATTGGGTGCAAAGTGCAAATATATGAAATACTCATAATGCCATAAATTATGATCACAAAAGGATTACTACAAGAACTACAAGTATAATTTCTTTCACACAGATTCAAAGTGAGTTAATTTGAGCTTAATTAAAATGGGGTCAGTAGAAATGTAATATTGGGTGTATGAAACCAATAGAAAATTAGAAATTACACGTAAAATAAAATGAATTCTGCAAGGGACATTATTTGAAAACCAAACATTATGAGCCCAAAAGGCAAGGACTAAACCAGCCCAGAAGGCAAGGATTAAACCATTATAACTCATTTCATTCCGTTCACGACTATAGAACTCAACAGTTACATCTACTTGTTCGATACTATACTTCAATTTTCTCTTTTTAAAAGGAGCATCGGCTCAAAATTATGTGGACAATTGATACTTTTTTGTGTTATGAATTTAGTTCTTTTCAAGGCTTTGCAGGTGATGTTTGTACAAACACGTTCCAAAATATACCAGAACTTCTCAATGGAATTTACATGAGCATTAGTTGTTACTCGAAGATCATGTGTTTTTCACAATCTGTTCTTCATTTCTAACTGGTAGGTGGCTTGATTTTTATGAAAATAACTTCGTCAGCAAGCCACAAAACAAGAATCCTGAAAGAGAAATTGAATTGTGGAGAGCAAAATGATGAGAATTGGGGAGCTATGGGGTACTATAGGCTTAGTTATGGTGAGTTTCAGGTTTGTGTCTGCAGTTTTTAGACAATACTTAGATCCAATTCCAACCAATTTCAACAACACAACATAACATGCTATAAACCCTAGTTAAAATTCGGCTAAATGCAATACAAGAACAATGTCACACTTATTTGCAATTTTGGACCAAGACAAGTACAAACACTTCAAGCATAAATGATTGTTCCACCAACTTGAATTGATTCATCACTAAATCCCCTTGCTAAGACTTAGATAAAGAATGCACAACAAAGAACACAAAGTTTTTTCGAATGGATAAACAAATTTTCAATATTTCATAAGCTAAATGTTTAAGAAATATGAATATCATAAAGGATTGGTGGGGGAAGATTAGGGCTGCAAAAAAAAAAAAAAAAAAAAAACCAAAAACTGAACTGAATCGAACCGAACCGAGAATCCGAACCGAAAAATCGGTTAACCGATTAATCGGTTTCAGTTTCAAAAAATGGTTGAACTGGATTTTCGGTTCGGTTTACGATTTATAGCATTTTTATAACCGATTAACCGAAACCGGTTTAATAAACCAGTTTTCCTATTAATATAATAATATTATTCTAAAAAATAAAAATCCCTAATTATCTAAATCTAAATCTAATAATCTTGAATCCCTAAACGAAGACCCAACTTCATAGTTCACACTTCACACTCGACAATACTCCTCTCCCCTCAAACTGGCCGGCTGCCGCTGTTCTCTCCACTCTCCAAGACTCCAATCGCCGCTGTCCTCTCCATTTTCCCATTGATTTTGCTCCCAAATCCTTCTTCTTCTTCTTCTTCTTCATTACCCGTCTCTCCTCCTCCCGTTTCTCCTTCTTCTTACTTATCCATTGCATCTTCTGGTTTGAGCCCAACTGACCTCTTCGACTCTCCTATACTTTTCTCTAATGTAAGTCTTCTTTATATGATCGTGTAAACAGAATAATAAGTTTATTAACTTGATGTTTATGTGACTTTTTGTTGCGTTTGTTTGTTTAGATTCTTGCTTCACCAACAACGGAAGCTTTTGGTGGTCATACCTTCAATTGGAACAAGGGAGGAGAGAATAATAACTTCTTTGATTTCTCTTTTGAAACCCAAACAAGGTCTTCTTCTACTGCATCTTCATCCATCTTTTAATCTTCTTCAAACATTGGTTCACTGGTAATGTTTCACCTCATTTATTGTTATTAATAAATCTCACATTTCAATTTATTTTAAATTGATAAAATTCTACCTTGTAAACCTCAGCTAAAATGATAATGAGTTGAATTTATGCTTGGTTGTGTCAATGGAAATGCTTGTGGGGTGGTTCATGGACTGTACTCTGGCTGGGCAGTAGGTTTGAGTACATTTTGTTGTGTTTAAATTAAATTGTTAGCTGGATATTACAATGCATGTTCGGCTGGGTTAGCTTTGAGAATTGGCTGTTTTGTGCTTTAAAATGTGCTGGAAAGTTAGGCATTAAAATGCTGACTCTAGATTAGATTAAACATGGATGTGTGACTGGTGAGCAACCAGAGGGTTTGCTCTACCGTAGGAAGAAGAGAGGGAAGAAGCAGGGGAATATTGGTTAGGCAGGAGGTTAGAGTTTGTTATAAGTGGGACAGCTGGCTTGTGAGGAGTGGAGAGAAGAGAATTCTATTAGGTGTCAGGAGAGAATAAAAAGGGGCTTGATGCGAGAGGGAGGGGATTGAGAACATTTAAGCTATTTTGGGAAAGGAGGCTACTGACCCTCGAAGTCGGTCATTGTGGAGGCTGCTGACCCTCAAAGTCAGTCCTATAATTTCCATTTTCTTTTGTACTTGTTATTTGATCTCTATCATAGGTCATTGAGTACTGCTAGGACATTACTATTGAATGAATATTCTATGTATGTATGGTACTGTTTGGTTAGTAATATAACAGGACCTTTGTCATTTGAGTGTGTGCTGGTTGTCTGTGGATAGATTGTTGGACTGTTTGTGGATTTGTAGGTCGGGTGTTCATCAATTGGTATCAGAGCATTGAGTTCTGGGTTATGGTTGTGACAAGAATGGACTCTAGACTGGATAATGTGGAAAAAGAGGTTACAAAGTTGGGAGTTGAGATGGGTACTATCCGAGAATGTCTGGTAGAATTACAGTCCTGGGTACGAAGGAAGGATGAAGAAGAAACTGGCAGAATTGAGATACAATCGTCTGAAAATGACCGATCTCACTAGGATGAAAATCCAAATGGGGCTGACACCAGCAACCAAAGTCACAGTGGAATGAGTGGGAGAAAGTTGGAGATACCGATATTTTCTGGCGAAGACCCTTATGGATGGATCTTTAGAGTTGAGCGCTACTTTCACCTCAACGGAGTAACTGAAGAAGGAGGTTAACAGCAATAACTGTTTGTATAGAGGGTGAAGCCATTAATTGGTTTCAGTGGACAGAATCCAAAACCCCAGCAACGTCGTGGGCCATGTTTAAGCTGGCACTTCTTCAAAGGTTTAGTGGATCCTAGGAATTCAACCCATATGAGTCGTTAATGGCCATGAAGCAAACTGGGACAGTAATGGAGTTTAGACGTCAGTTTGAAGCCGTTGCTGCCCTTTTGGTAGGGGAGAATGAGGAAATCTTACAAGCAGCCTTTATCAATGGGCTAAAATTGGAAGTGAGAGCTGAAGTCCGTTTAGCTTAGCCCACATCTCTAACTCAAATAATTGAGCTGGCCCAACGCATAGAGGAAAGAAATAATGTGATTGAAGAGGCCCAAGTGGGAGTAAGTAAACACACGCGTGTTAATGGGCTGGGATATCCTTATGGACCCAAAACTTGACCCGACTCTATAGTCACCCAAACCCAAAATTCCCAAATAGCGCAGAATCCCTAAAATCAAATCCTAACCCCTTTTTCCATTGACGATCGCCAGAAACTTCAACCCATAGCTTGTCGACCAACTCCTCCAGTCGCGATCAACCACCAACATCCTTTCGACACTATGACAGACCTAACTTCCACCCATCACCGACAGCCTTTCGACCCTATGACAGACCCAACTTCCAACAACGCGAGTTCCCATT